GAAAACCTTTCGGAAGAAGAACGCATACCTGGAAGAGCTAGAGGTCGAGCTAGAGAGATAAAGATAAATAAATAAATAAACAAACAAAGATAAAATTATTCTTAATTTTTAAAATGTTATTTTCTTTGAAAAAAGTTAATGTCTTTTTTATGTATGACTCTTTATCCAACTCAACGAGGCCTGCATTTTTGTCTCCCATGGTAACAATACGATTTTCTATTTTAATTTTATGTTTCAGATTTTTAATGATGCGAAGAATTAATTTAGTATGGAAAGATTTTATGTTGACGTTCTTATTCCCACTCGTTTTCCCTCACTCTTTCACCTTTATCATCTGGCGAACGTTCCTTATGACCTTCAGTCCAATTTCATCCCTCATCATGTTGACTCAAGTTATTTAATTTTAAAGGAAATTTTAACGTGTTAATTGTAAGTTTAAAAATTTTCTTTCTTTTTTGATTTCTAATATTTAGTTATTATGGTTCTTTCTCTACAGGTTTGGTAATTTGTTTTGTCGTTAATTTTTAATATTTATTTTTAAACACTTTGAAAAACGAGATTTACGATGAATAGAAAAACGCCATTTTCATTTTTTGGATTTTTCAATTTACTTTTCAAGTTTTTTTACATTTGAATTTTTCATAAACGGAATCTTTTTGAAGAAATACTCTGAAACAATACTTTCTTCACTCTCGATGCTCCTACACCGACGGTAATTATATATATTTTTTATCTGTGTTTTTGTTATATCTGAATGTTCCTTACTCCTGCCTGAAGAAGAACGATAATCGTTCGAAATCTTCGAAGATAGCACCGAAATAAAATATTTTCATCATTTATACGACTTTTAATTTTTTTTAGCAGCAAAACACCATACAACTTACCTGGAAAAAAACCACCAAATCGATAATAGAGGCATCTCCAATAGGCCCCGAGATCAAGAAAACCTTAATCCCTCGGGAAAAATCAAGCAGGTGCCCCAAACTCTATGGTCTGCCCAAAATCCCCTACCTCAGGAAGACTTCTCCGGATCGGGGACGGTGTAGGACCGTTTTCCAAGTGGCTGACAAGTGCAGGGCGTCATCTCTCTTGTTGAAGGTACCGTTCTTCTCTATTTCGATGGACTCGCGGATGAGTCTGGTGCTCCAATGTGGAACGTTGGCTATTTCCATATCTGAAGCTGCTAGTTTTCCATATATACATACATATATTTACACGTTTTCACTCTCGTATTTTGTTTTTAAAAAAAGTTTTATTCTTAAAATTTACAAAATACTAAATGAAACAATGCAAAAATTGATTACAAGATTAAAATAATTCTAATTCTAATGTTTTTGATACGAACGTTGAGAAGTTCATCAACGAACTGTTGTTATTGTTTTTCTTCTCACATTTTTTATTCTAATTCTTATCTTTTCGGGTGTCATCAGTTTTCTGGTGCACCTGCATGCTGTAACTCCTCCCTCCTAAGATCGAAGATTGTGTCCAAGGGTGGCGATCTTCGGCCTGAGGCAAGGTGACGTCAATAGTTTCCATTTTTGGCGTTGTTTTGCCTCGGTATTTCATGTAGGCAATTATTCCAAGAATCACAACAGTAACGATACATGGGGTGGCTATTGTTGATCCCAAGAATTTCTTGACGTATGTCCCTTGTATTTCTTGAAGTTCCTGTCGGGTAGCTTCTAAGTCTTGAGTTGTCTTGTTGAAGTTATTCCATTGGACTCTTTGCAGTTCCAAGTCTTCGCGTTTCCAGTGCGGAATTTCTTCGGGAATGTTTCTTACTTCAACATTGGTCATTTGGAATTTACGGTCGGGCAATTTACTGATGTATGATTTTATAATTTCGTGTTTCCATTTCAGGTCGCATCCATCGGTTATCTGGATTAGCAAATTTCCATTCAAAATTCTATCTTCTGATTTTTTATGACATCTTATAGTCACTCGTTCTTGCGTTGGTGTGTAAAACAACCATTCATTGTCAGTTACTCGCGTGATGACTGCTGGATTCTTTGTTTTGGCTGAACTTGAGCATCCAGTCCCTGTATATAGATGCTTCAATAGCTGATATTCACATGGAGATTTTGATGTTATCTCGGTACTGTGTTTGTTGCATAAGAATGTTTCTTCTTTGATTTCCAGACATTCACGTTCCATGGGTATGTACCTATTTTGATTTTCAGCTAGGTATGGATTTTGTACGTTCAGGTACCAAAAGGTTTCGTTTTGGAAGGTAGGTAATGGATACAAACGATAATATTGGTAAGTATCAGGCTCGCATAGGGGTAGATCAATTAGAAATCGAAAGATAGTGCCTTTTCTATACGCTTTTATTTTTAATGCTTTTTCTATCGCATATAAGTTTTCTTCTTTCAATGGTAATGGCAACTTTACGTTTGTCAGTTGTTGTTTTATTAGTTGTAGTTCGCTGAAGAGGTCATCATTGGTTAAAATCGTTGGATGATACACTTGCATTTTGGCAA